TAAGTATTAGCATCAAAATGTACTCAAAGTATAAAATTATACAGAATTGTTTTAGAGTAATGTATTTTATGTTGGATTACAATCATGGATGCGTTCATGTGTGCAAAACGGGCCACAACAGGGTCGGTGAACTTTGCGGCAGACGGATTTTCGTCTCTCTGTTCAAAGTCACCAGACTCCATTGACAGATTACAGGAGTTGCTGGTCTACCAAAACCTTGATTGGTCAGATCTGATGTGATTATGTTCCTGATTTTGAGTGTTGAATTGATGAGTCATTCAAAAAGACGTGTTTTAGTTTGTTTACTGTACTTGATTGTTCTAATGTTCTAATGTAAATCACTGCTGGCAATGTAGCATGGCCTCTACCACAGGTGTCATTAATAGTGTTACCTGAGCAGGTGATTTCCAGGCTGGATTCACTGAGTTGATCCCTCATTGTCACACATTCCTTCAGTGTGGATTTAGACTGAACACAGGGAGAGTTGATCCACCACGCAGGTCTTTCTGAGGACTCTGTTCTCTTTGCTGCTGAAACAGCATAGCCACAGTCCAGCCGTCCACACACCGCAGCCGTTACCTTCAGGTCCCACTTAGAGTCTGCGTTATCCACAGCTTTCCACTCTCCACGGTGCTTCAGCTCCAGTCTGCCGGTGCAACGGCTCGCCCCCCCCACCAACCTGACATCATTGGGGTCTGACGAAGGTAAGTGAACGATCAGGGACAGAGAAAACACCACTTTAAATATAAAAGAGTCAAATCAAAGCAGCTCTACCTGAGCAGGTGAGTCCAACAGCTTTTCCAGGTGAGCAGGTGTTTCTAGCTGAGCCTGAGCTTCTACAGTCCAGGAGAGCAGACTCATGGCCGCCACACTGGAGCTCCCTCGCCCACACTGGAGCCTCCACCTCCCCGTAGAGTCCCCCCTTGAAGACTGAAGGTGCCCCACAGCCAAGCTCCCTGCAGACCACCTCCGCCCCCTGCTGGTCGAAGTCATCTTCACACACTGAGGACCACAGCTGGTTGGACTTCACCTCCAGTCTGCCTGAACACAGGTTGGTCCCATTCAGCAGCCTGACAGAGTCTGGAGAGAGAGAGAGCTGGGTCACGTTTGGGGCCACAGCTTCAATGTTCAGGTACTGCAGGAAAGCTCAATATTCCCATTACATTACACACTGGGAAATAACTTAATGTGTGTGTGTGTGTGTGTGTTTCTATGTTCTTACAGGATGTCAGTTGAGTAGGCGGTCCTTCAGTGAGGACTAGGACGCATTAATGTTTACATTACATAAGATTAGTGGTCAGATGCGTCCCAGACCACCTCAGTGAGTGGTTTGAGTGATTGGATCACAATGCGTCTCGGAGGTCGTTCACACTGTGTTTACTGCTGTCTGCCTGTGATCTGATTACCCAGAATGCATTCTGATACCAGGTGTAAACAGGATTTTACAGGCACCTTTGTGCCAAACCTAAGCTAAAAAACAACTAGGAAAACATTTATGTAAGATGATTACCTCTCAGTTTGAGATCTCTGGCTTAGAATTTGTCCCAATAAGGAAAACCTAAAATGAAAATTGGAGTTGAAATGGAGAGTGGAACAGTTGAGGAGGATCTATTGTCAGAAATGTTATATAATATTCATAGGTATGTTTTCATTAGTGTAGATACTCTAGATTGGGCCACCATCGTTTCTGCTCTTGAAAAGCAGGCTGTATTCAGTTGGCAGCACTAGATGCTTCTAAATCCTTCACACTGGTCTTTCAAATTGGGGACAGATCCTTTTATATGATTGTCAACAAATAACAAGTACTCCTGCATTCTTTTGATCAGTGTTGCAAGGGTCACTCGAGCATTGAATTGACTCATAAAGCAGCCGCAGTAAACTGTATTTTCCACCTGTGAGAGGTCAAGACACTGTAAAGATTACTAATAAATGTCATTAATGGTGTTACCTGAGCAGGTTATCTCCAGGCTGCCAGGGGAAAATATAGGTCTGTTAAAACAGTCCATCAGTGAAGACGCACAGTCAGATCCGGCTCCCCAAACATTTGTCTTTGCAGGATTCATTCTTCTTGTGGTTGAAACAGGAGAGCCACAGTCCAACAGTCTACACACTATACCTGCTATACTCAGGTCCCAGTCCCTTTCATCCAATGGTTTCCATTCGCCCAGTTTGTTCATCTCTAGAGTGCCACTGCACCGGCTGGCTCCTCCGAACAACCGGAAACCACTGGGATCTGGGTAGAAACAAAAACTTCATTCAAACAGAAATGAACCAATATGACAGTTGGAACAGTGGAAAGTCTAACAAAGACAGTTTGGTTGAGTTTTATTTTGTTTCTGTCCCCTTTGCATGAAGTTATGATGTTACGATGATCTGTGAGGTAAAATTGCCGTTTTTTTCTGTCAGTCTGTCAGTGGCAAAAACAACTACTGTTAGTGGACCGACTTTGACGGCCAAGGATTGCGTTGCCACCATTACAGCCCATTGCAGTGAATTAAGGGTTTATTTCAATCAAACCAGATTTGGTGATTGTTGGAAAGACAAATAAAGACAGTTTTGGTGATTTTTATTGTGTTTCTGTCAAGTTCAAAGTCTGCCTGGAAATATTTGTGGTTTTGTCAGTGGAGTTTGGTGCTCCAGTGTGACATCTACTGGCAGTGAATTATATAACCATTACAAACTATTAACATAATCCACTGGTGGTCATGTTTTCTTCTACCTGAGCAGGTGAGTCCAACAGCTCCCAATACACTGACACTGAATACACTGGAACACTTGGTATCCAT